TCGGGATAACTCGAAATCTCTGAGAATCTGCGGGTTTGGAGGATGTATTGGGCGCCGCGGCCGCTCCAGAGCGTTCCGGAACGCTCTGAGAGCGCTCCGGAACGCTCTGGAGCGATTTATCCCGATCCTAGTCCTGTTTTAGGAGCGGCCAAGAGGGGGGTGCCCAAGAGGGGGGGGGTGCAAATCGTGACCGGCGGCACGTGCGCGGCCCAGCGGGGGGGGGGGCTGGGGACGCAAGGAAAAATAAGAAGAGGCGCCATGAGATCTGAGGAAATCGCATGGCCCCCCGCCCCCCCCCCCTCCTCCTCCTCCTCCTCCTCCTCCTCCTCCTCCTCCTCCTCCTCCTCCTCCTCCTCCTCCTCCTCCTCCTCCTCCTAGTCATCACCCCCCTCTTTTCCGCCCCCGAGCAGCGCAGGTCCCGGGGCAGAGGCCCCCAAGATGGGGTCCGATGGGGGTGGGGTCGGAGGATGCCGCCGCACCGCCGAGGCGTCGCCGAGGCGTCGGCGAGGCGTCGGCGAGGCGTCGGCGATGCACTGGCGATGCACTGGCGATGCTCGTGCATGCTTCCTCGTTTGTCCATTCACCGCAGCCGTTGGCACGAAAGCGGTATCTTCTGAACGAGTGCCCGTGCGCTGATAAAGCAACGAGTGCGCAGACTCCTGCTGCGTTGCCTTGAGATTGTCTATTCATCTTGCATCGGCGGTGCGTCGGCGATGCACTGGCGATGCACTGGCGATGCATGGGCGACGGCGGCGCGGAGAAACCTGGGCCTCCGCATCGAGCCGTGTCGCCGATGCGTCGCCGATGCGTCGGCGATGCGCCACACGCCTCCGATCCCACCTATGGCCATCGCTCGGACGTCCATTCCCTGTGCTTGCTTCGGTTTCGTGCATGTTTTTTTTTTTTTCGCGGGATGATCCAGGATGCTCCTTTAATAATCCCCGCCGAGAAAAAAAGCACACGACCGAGCGATACCAAGATCCCCAGACCCCCGACGTAATGATTTTTTCATTACGTCGACTCCAGAGTTCTCGACCCCTTCCCCAGGACCGGTTTGTCGTCCTGAGTCGTTTTTTGACGCTCCCGAAGCCCGGCGAGGGCCCCCAGAGGCCGAAAATGGCGAAAAACCTCCCGTCATGATTTTTTCATTACTCGAGGGGGTCTGGGTCTACCCCGACCCCATCTGGAGGCCTAGATGGGGAGAAGAGGTCAAGACCTCTGCGCGTCGACGCCGCGGCAGAAGCCATGGCGGCGGAGGCCTTGGCCCTTTGGGCCCCCCGAGGGCCTCTCCCGAAGCACCCGCTCCCCGAGAAGCGCAGCAAGACAGCGCCATGACCTGTCGGAGAGGGCCGCGCGGATTCCTTGGCGCGGCGCTGGGCCCCCATCCCCCCAGACCTCCTCGCGCTGCGACAAAATCATGACGGGAGGTCTTTCGCCATCTTTGGCCTCCGGGGTCCCTCAACCGGGCCTCAGGACCGTCAACAAAACGACTCCGGACGAAAAAAACGTCCCGGGGAAGGGGTCCAGACCTCTGGGGGTCGATGTTGCAAGAAGATCACGGCGTCGGAAGTCAGGGCCCCCGTCCTGGCGCGCGGAGAGCGCCAGGGGCGGCGACGGAGGCGCGGCCAGGGAAGGCCCAGCGCCGATCCAGGAACTCCGCGCGGGCCTCCGGGCGCTGCTCCTCCTCAGCCACCGTGCCGCTGGGGCCGGAGAGCACCGCATCGGATCGAGACTTCGGAGCGGCGATCGGGACCTACGTCGGCTCCGCGGAGATCGGCAGCCAGGCCGGGAGGAGTCGAACCGGCGGGCATGGGCAGGCCCGGGATGCCTCCCTCGGGAGGCCGAGCCCCACGTCGCACTCCGAGGGTCGAGTCGGCTCGGCGTCCGAGGCCGTCGGCATCGAAGCACATCGAGCCGGAGGGATCGACAGGAGCCCCGCTAAGGGGGGGCCTCCTGGGGCCTCTCCCTGGGGCCTCGGCTGCTGGGGTGCTGCTCCTCCACGGCCCGCTTCGCGTGCCGGCGGCGGGGGGGGGGGGCCTCTCCTGGGGCCTCTCCTCTGGGCCCTCTCCTCCTGGGGCCTCCATTACTAAAGTGCCGCTGCTCCACCTCGGGCGGCGCCCCCCCCCCCCCCTGCACGAGCAGCGGGGAGGCGCCGCCCCGCGAGGGGCCGCCGCGCGGCGAGGCCCCCCCCCCCCCCAAGGTCGCACGCCCTGCCCCGCGAGGCGCGGCGCCCGGCGAAAGCCAGGCCGCCGCCGGAGCCGCCGCGGCTGCCGCCCCGCGCCTGCGCCCCCCCCGCGAGGCGCGGCAGACACACGCAGAGGGGAGGCCCTGCCGCAGGAGATCCGCCGGCCCCTCGGCGTGCGAGAGACACTGTCGTCGCCGTCGACGTCGTCGTCGCGTCGTCGTCGTCGTCGTCGTCGTCGTCGTCGTCGTCGTCGTCGCCGTCGCCGTTGCCGTCGCCGTCGCCGTTGCCGTCGCCGTCGCCGTTGCCGTCGCAGCCGCCGCCGCCGCCGCCGCCGCCGCCGCCGCCGCCGTCGTCGTCGTCGTCGTCGTCATCGTCGCCGCCGCCGCCGTCGTCGTCGTCGTCGTCGTCGTCGTCGTCGTCGTCGTCGTCGTCGTCGTCGTCGTCGTCGTCATGCGTCCCAAAGAACTGGAACAAGGAAAAGGAATGCCGCAGTTGAGCCGGAGGGGAGCTCCTTCCCTTCATCCCTTCCCTGCCCCGGGGGGGGGGGCACGGATCGGGGGGGGGGGTCGGGGGGGGGCACGGGGAGGTGTAGTCCCAGGTCTGAATGCCGTTCCCTGGGGTCCAGGAGGAAGTCGCCAGAGGGGGTCTCGGGGGAGGTCCCGCCTTCAGGGTCGGCGGCACTGGCCGTGAGGCCTTCGCGATACTGAGGCACAGCCTTCGTTGGTCGTTGAGGCTCCCATGGTGCCTCAGGGCTTCTGTGGGTGCCCGGGGCCATCGGGGGATCGGATGCGAGAAATGCTTGTGGGGCGTCTGCTCGCAGGCCGATGTCTGATGTCGTGCGCCCGCTCTACCCTGACCCGGACCTCCTCTCATGGTGACAACACAAAGCACGGCGGGAAACTCTTGGCCAGTCTCGGCCTCCTTGCGCCCTCGCTGGGCCCCAGCCAAGGACGTGAAAAGAACAGCATTGAACACCAGTCCCGTGGAAAAGGTCTGGACCTCTGGGGAACCACGATGCGAGGAAAAAACACAGGTCTTGGGAGATCCTGGCTTCGCCTCTTTGTCTCACGCTGGGCACTTTCGCCCAGTTTCGTGCCCCGGGGCCCTCACGCATCGACGGAGCTCTCATCCACATCCCCTCCTCCCCCCCCCCCTCACTCTACCCATTCGGCTCCTGCTGCTGCTGCTGCTGCTCCTCCTACATCCTGCTCCTCCTGCGTCTGCTCCCTCCTCCTGCTGATGCCTCCTCCTCCTCCTCCTCCTCCTCCTCATCATCATCATCATCACCATCACCATCACCATCACCATCACCATCACCATCACCATCATCATCATCATCATCATCATCATCATCATCATCATCAGCAGCATCAGCATCAGCATCAGCATCATCATCACCATCGTCATCATTATCATCATCATCATCAGCAGCAGCATCACGATCATCATCATCATCATCATCATCATCATCATCACCATCACCATCATCATCATCACCATCATCATCATCATCATCATCATCATCATCATCATCATCATCATAATCAGCAATCATCATCATCATCATCATCGTCGTCATCAGCATCATCATTATTATCAGCAGCATCATCATGGTCGTCGTCAGCATCAGGATCATTACCATCACCATCACCATCACATCATCATCATCATCATAATCGTCGTCATCATCATCATCATCCTCATCATCAGCAACATTAGCATCATCAGCATCAGCATCACCGTCGTCATCAACATCAGCATCAGCATCAGCATCAGCATCATCAGCATCATAATCATCACACGCACAAGCATAAACAGAAGCATCAGCATCAGCAGCACCACAACCATCATCATCATCATCAGCAGCATCAGCATCATCACTTGCACCATCATAATCGGCATCGTCATCATCATTATCAGCATCACCATCATCATCACCATCACGATCACCATCATCAGCATCATCATGCTCATCGTCACCATCACCCTAAGCATCACCAGCATCGTCATCGTCATCATCATCATCATCATCATCATCATCATCATCGTCACCCTCATCATCATAATGATAATCATCAGCATCAGCATCAGCATCAGCATCAGCATCAGCATCAACATGAGCATCAGCATCAGCATCAGCATCAGCATCATCATCGTTATCGTCATAGTCATCATCATCATCATCAGCATCATCATCATCATCAGCATCATCATCATCATCATCACCTTCATCAGCATCACCTTCATCATCATCATCAGCATCCCCCTCCTCCACCCTCTTCCACTCCTGCATCTTCTTTTCTTCTTCTTCACCCTCTCCTCCCCCCTCTCTCCCCCTCCTCCACCCCCCCCTCCTCCTCCTGCTCCTCCTGCTCCTGCTCCTTCTGCTCCCGCTCCTGCTCCTCCTGCTGCTGCTCGCCCGAGCAGCGGGCCGCGCACTTCAACACGGAGGCAAATAAGCTATACTGCTGCCGCCCGTGCGCTGCTGCTGCTCCTCCTCCTCCTCCTCCTCCTCCTCCTGCTCCTCCAGCTCCTCCTCCTCCTCCTCCTCCTCCTCCTCCTCCTCCTCCTCCTCCTCCTCCTCCTCCAGCTCCAGCTCCAGCTCCTCCTCCTCCTCCTCCTCCTCCTCCTCCTTCTCCTCCCGATCGCCGCTCGGCTGCAGCCTCCGTCGGCGTCTCTGCCGCCCGCCGCGACCACTCCAGGGCCTTCCGAGACGCAGATGATCTCGAGCTCGGAGTCGTCGTCTGCAGGAGGAGGAGGAGGAGCGGGAGGGAGGGGAAGGACAGGGAGGGAGGGAGGGAGGCGGACAGGGAGGAAGGGAGGGGAGGGAGGGAGGGAGGGAGGGAGGGAGGGAGGGACAGGACAGGGAGGGAGGGAGGGGAAGGACAGGCAGGGAGGGAGGGAGGGAGGGGAAGGACAAGGAGGGAGGGAGGGGAAGGACAGGGAGGGAAGGAACGGAGGGAAGGGAGGATGGCGGAGGAGGGGAAGGATCAGGGCCAGAGTAAGCCTGGGAGGAAAGGGACGGGGGGGGGACAGGGAGGAAGGCGGTGGAGGGGGGGAGGCAGGGAAGGGCCGAAGGCGGCGGAGGGCGGGGAGGGTGAGGACCAGAGCAAGCCCAGGATGCATCGACGATGCTGCAACGCCCCTCCGGCCCCAGGTCCTCCTCTTTCTCTTCTTCCTCCTCCTCCTCCTCCTCCTCCTCCTCCTCCTCCTCCTCCTGCTCCTCTCCTTCTTCCTCCTGCTCCTCTTCTTCTTCCTCCTCCTGCTCCTGCTCCTCCTACTCCTCCTCCTCCTCCTCCTCCTCCTCCTCCTCCTTCTCATGAGTCCCGGCTGGCACGCATTTGTTCCTCGCTCGCCGCCGGGGGGAAGCGCCCCGCCTCCGGAGAGAGGCGGGCGCCACGCGCGCCTCCCCCCCCCTCGTCTCGGAGAGGAGCTCTGCCCGACGGGAGAGAGCGAGCCAGGTCAACGGGGTTATGTCGGGCGTGTCCCCCTACAGCCAGGGGGACGTAAGACCTGGGTACAGGGGACTCGGAAATCCCCGACGAGATCGTCAAGAAAATGACGAGGCCGAGCCTGCATTTTGACGAGGCCTCCCGCTGCAGACATCCCACGAAACTCCTCCTCGTCAAAATCCGAGGCGCGGTCGTCAAAAAACGATGGCGAACCCGAGTCCTGGCAAACCCGGGTCTTACGCTCCCCCGATACAAGGGGATTTTCGACGAGACAAATCAAAAAAATACCCCAAAAATGCCCCAAGAAGGTCAAACAAATACTAAAAAAGATAGCCCCCAGACTATTATTGGATTATGTTTTTTGTTGTTGTTGTTGTTGTTGTTGTTGTTGTTGTTGTTGTTGTTGTTGTTGTCATTTTTGGTATTTGTTATATTTCGCCGAAAATCCCCCTGTAGGGGGACAGGCCCGACTTAAAGCCACCGAAGGAGCTGTCCGGCGGAGGCTGTCCGGCCAGAAGGTCCGCTCTGAAAAGGGGGAGCGCCCCTCCAGACCCCCTTGCGTCGTGAAAATCGCGAGGCATCTTTCTCGCAGTGTTCGGCCTCTGTGGGCCCCCACCAGGAGCCAGGCCACCGAAGGAGCTGTCCGGCAGAAGGTCCGCTCTGAAAGAGGGGGGCGCCCCCCCAGGCCCCCTCGCGTCGTGAACCCACCGCGGCGGGAATGTGTTTTTCCAAATTTCGGCCTCTGGGGGCCCCTGCCAGGCCTCGGCTCGGGACCGTCAAACAACGACTCCAGACGAAAAACCGGTATCGGGCGCGTGGTCAAAGCGGGGCTCCGCGGTGCCAATTGTTGTTGCGTTGTTATTGCGTTCATGCGTTTCTGTTGCCGTCGTCCTCGCCCGCGACCCGCCCGCGACCCACCCCGCGACCCACCCCGCAACCCCGCCCGCGACCCACCCCGCGACCCACCCACGACGCACCAGCGACCCACCCACATTGCTTTGACGAAATAATCGGCGCCTGCGGCGGGTTCGTTGTAGAATCGGCGCCTGCAAAAATCGACGACTGCGGTGGGCTTCCTCAATGCCTCGCGGACTGCAGACGACCCGGCCCCCCACTTACTCATATCCGTACGTGCGGGGTGGTACGTAATTTTTCTGAGCTCATTTAAAACGAATGTGCGCGACGCTGGGACGACTGCCGCATTTTGAAAGCGACCCGCCCTGCATCTGTGTCTTCGGCGGGGAGTGTCACTTTCCTTGCTCTTGAATTGCGAGGGTGCCTCAGGCCGAGCGCCGGCGTCGCCCCACCGACGCCTCTGGTGGTCAGGGGGGCACCTGTCGGGCGCTGCAGCTTTCCGATTCCCGCAGCCCGGAAAGAAAGCCTCCAGCGAACCGAAACGCCCCCACGGCTAGACCCTCGATCCCCCCCAAAAAAACCTTCGTTTTTTTTGGTTTTGTTTGCACAATTGTTTTTTTTTTTTTGCAAAACCCCGAGGTGCCTTTCTTGCCGCCAGCCCCCCGACCTGCACCTTCCGCACCTTCTGCGCGGCAGGTGCCGCGCTGCCGCCGTCGCGGCGGCCGCAGCGGCGGCCAGTGCCGAGGCCGCAGCGGCGGCAGCCTCCGCGCGGAAGGTGCCGAAGCTGCTGGTCGGGGGAACCATCGCTCCGCATCGCGCGGCCCCGACAGCTGCCCAGGCGCGAACCGCGCAATTTCAGAACATGCCCCGAAGCCCTTGGAACGCGAGGATCCTAGCACAACAATCGCAACCCCTCGGGGCCCACGGGTCTTCCGCTGCAGCCAAGGAGGAGGGAGGCCGATGACGAAGACGAGGACAACGTGGGGGAGGAGGAGGAGGGAAGGGAGCAGAGCAGAGCAGAGCAGATCCTCGTGGAGTCCCTGTCAAGCTACCGACCGCGAAGCTCGAAAAACTTACCTGAACTCTGCGAGGGTTCCTTCGAAACCAAACGTCTCGCGCTGCGAGCCCCTCTAAGGCTCACAGCAAACGCTGCACTGGCCGACAGGCACACAACCTTCAGCGGGGGCCCCTACGTCAGGTGCGACGACCACTTCCCTTCCCCGGCCCACCAGAGCCCACTCCACGCCTCCCCCTCCCAGGGTGTCGGTCGCTTCTGCCACGATTCGAAGGCAAGTGAATCACAGGGATCTCAGGAGCGCTGACAGCAGTGAACCCGTCTGGCAAACTTGCTGGGAGCCTGCTAGCTGCCCGAGGCATCTGTTCATGAGGTATGCTTCCTGCTGCTACTAGTGGCGCTAAACGAGCGCTACTTGCCATCATGGGGAACCACGTCCTGGCTATACGGGGACCCTCGAAATTTCGACCCTTTCCCAGGGACCGGTTTTCCATGCCGAGTCGTTTTTGGACGGTCCCGAGGCCCGGCGAGGGCTCCCGGGAGCCGAAAACAGCCGAAAGGCCTCCCGCCCTGATTTGTTTTTCACGACGCGGTTATGTCTGGGTGCTCCTCCCTCGTGCCCCAACTGTTGGCGGCGCGCACACCGGGATAGGGGGGAAGGGGCAGGCCTCTTAGAAGGAGGCTGCTTCTCAGAAGGCGCCGGCCTTACATCTGCAGATACGCAAATCCCGCGCCTTCTCCGAAACAGGGGTGCTTCTGAGCAGCCCTCCGCCCTCCTCCGACCCCCCTCTGCGCGTGCCCCAGCCGATCCGCCTGCTCTTCTGGGCTGGGCTTAGGTCGGGCATGTCTTCCTACAGGCGGGTTTTGGCTGACAGAAATTATACAACGTATTCAAAGCAGAGCAACAAAGCAAACAACACTTTAATAACTAATTGAATAAGTATTTTACGAACCGTTGACGACGATTTCATTACTCTCAAGAACATGATCGAATCACTGTCTTCATAGCTATCTATGGCGAAAAATCGTCGTCGGACTTTTTTCAATGCCTCGTTTTGAATATGCCTCCTGTGGAAGCACGTGGCTGATATAGTAAAATATGAAAACATGAAAAAAACAGCAACACAACTATTTAATAACTATTCTAGACACTACTTCACGAACCGATGATGAGTATTTCAGGACTTTCAATTACTATGTGTAACAACTATTTGTACACCTATCGATGGTGAAACATCGTCCACGGACATTGTTTTTCAAATGACTCGTTCTGAATCTGCCTCCTGTGGAAGCACATGCCCGACTGAAGGCTGGGCCCGACGCCGCCACCCCCCGACGACGACGCCGACGACGGCGACGACGACGACGGCGACGACGACGACGGCGACGACGACGGCGACGACGGCGACGGCGACGGCGACGACGACGCCGCCGACGACGACGCCGCCGCTCCCCGACCGCGCGGCCGAGGCCTCCCGCCCCGGCCCCGCCGCCGGGCTCCCGGCCCGGGGGCTCCCCGCCGCCGCCGGGGGCGCCCGCCGGGGGGCCCTCGGCGCCTCCTGGCGACGGCGGCGACGGCGACGACGGCGACGACGACGCCGACGACGACGACGCCGACGACGGCGACGATGGCGACGACGACGGCGGCGGAGACGGCGACGGCGGCGACGACGACGACGACGGCGACGACGGCGACGGCGGCGACGATCACGGCGATCACGACGACCGCCACCGCCGTTTCTGGGGCACGGACATCCGGCACCGAATCGGAAGCTCGGATCGAGCCGCAAGGAGAATCGGATCGGGCCGCAGCGGCGCGGGGCCGGGATCGGGCCGGAGCGGCCGCGCCGGGATGCACAACAGCGCCGTGCCAACGTCGGGTCGCATCGGGTCGACGGAACATGGAATATCGACATCGATATCGACTGATCATCGAATCGACTCGATTCAGATATCGATTTCGGATCGATATCGAATATCACGATAGCGATATCGATTCGAATACCGAATTTCGGAACGTGGGATATCGTTATCGACATCGAACATCGATTTCGGATCGATCGAATCGCAACGGACCCTGCGGGGTCCGAGGTGGGACCGCTTGTCTTGGGCTATGGGGGCGGTCCGAGCAGCTCGCCGCCTGCCCTGTGGAGCCCACTTGTGGACCCAGATGTCCGACGACAACGACGACAACGACGACAACGACGACGACGACGACGACGACGATAACGACGATAACGACGACGACGACGACGACGACGACGACGACGACGACGACGACGACGACGACGACGATAACGACGACAACGACGACAACGACGACGATAACGACGAGAACGACGACGACGACGATAACGACGACGACGACGGCGACGGCGACGACGACGACGACGACGACGATAACGACGATAACGACGACGACGACGAGGACGGCGAGGACGGCGAGGTCGACCGGCCGACGACCGACGACCGGCGGCGCCGCCGCCGCGGCGGCGCCCAGCGGCGGGACGTCATCGTCGCCCAGGGGCTCTTGCCGGCCGGCGATCGTTCCTCGATTTCGACCCTTGGGGGTGGGCCGTTTTCGGGCCCTATAGGGCCATCGCTACAGACAGGCAAATCGGTACGACTTGAAAATTCGGCCCGAAGGCTCGAATCGCACGAAGGTGCCAGACTGTTGGTCCAGCCAGGCCAGGGGCCGTCGGCGCAGCCAGTCTGGGGAAAAGGGTGTGTCAGCAGGTCGCATCCGAGTGGCGGGAGAATCCTTCGTCTCGCACGGATCCAGTCTGACCATTGTACCCATACAAAATATCAACTGAGGACGGCTCTGGAATCCGAGGGCGACTTACACAGGGCAGGGGGCTAGGTGCCTTCTAGAATTTGACTGAGGCTCTCCTGCTAGAACTTCCCTCAGGTAGCTCCTTCTGGAATTTTACTGAGCTGCACCTCTGGGTTCCGACGTTTGGACCGTCGCGCGTTCTGGTCACTGCACCTCGCCGTCGCCGGCGTCGTCGTCGCCGCCGCAACCGCCGTCGCCGTCGCCGCCTGGAGGTTCAGTCATGCGTCCAGTCCGGGCACATCGCACCACCTTTGCCTGATGGTCTGCAGCGGCTCCTGGGCGAAGAGCTGCCTCCTGGGGAAGCGGACCTCAGACCCCAGCGTCATGCTTTTTCTCGTGACGTCGACCCCAGACCCAGACCCCCGACGTCATGATTTTTTCATGACGCGACCCCCAGAGGTCCCGACCCCTTCCCTGGGACCGGTTTTTCGTCCTGAGTCGTTTTTTGACGGTCCCGAGGCCCGGTGAGGGCCCCCAGAGGCCGAAAATGGCGAAAAACCTCCCGTCGTGATTTTTTCATGACTCGAGGGGGTCTGGGACCCCAGCGCCATGCTTTTTCTCGTGACGTCGGCCCCAGAGGTTTCGACCCATTCCCTTGATCGGTTTCCCACCCTGCAGAAATTTCTGACGGTCCCGGAGCCCCGCGAGGGCCTCCAGAGGCCGAAGACGTGAAGCAGCCTCCCGCCGCAATTCTTTTCACGACGCGGAGGGGGTCTGGGCTCTGACTGTGTCGGAAGCATGCCTCCCCCCCCCCCCCGAGCCTCGACCCCCCCCTGCCTTCCAGGGGGCACTCCCTCGTCCCGGATCCGCTTCCGAGGGCCACCGAGCCCCGAAAGCGGCCCGCGCGCGCCGAGGAAAGACCGCTGGCTGAACAAACACACATCTGAAGGGGCCCCAGGACACACAAACAAGTACACACACAAATCAGAGACTTCCCCATATTCTCTAAAAAAGATCTTCTGGGTGTTTGTCTCTCCCCCCCCCACTTCCCATACTTCCCCACCTTTTCTGGGGCATCGAAGATTCATGGTGTCTGTGTGCCTCTTTCCCAGACCCCCGACGTCATGATTTTTTCATGACGCGACCCCCAGAGGTCCCGACCCATTCCCCGGGACCGGTTTTTCGTCCTGAGTCGTTTTTTGACGGTCCCGAGGCCCGGCGAGGGCCCCCGGAGGCTGAAAATAGCGAAAAACCTCCCGTCGTGATTTTTTCACGACGCGAGGAGGTCTGGGTTCCCTCCTGAAGATCGCCGGCTCGTCGGAGGCCTGGGCGCCCAGGCCACCCCTCAAGCCTCCGACGGCCGTGCCCGGGACGGCCTCGGCACCCCCGGGGACCGCCCCCGACGAGGCGCCAGCAGCCGAGAGGCACCCCGAGGCGGGCACACACTCCCGGGACGAGCGACACCGCCAGACCCCCTCGCGTGGCGAAAAAATCACGACGGGAGGTTTTTCACTATTTTCGGCCTCCGGGGGCCCTCGCCGGGCCTCGGGACAAGCAAAAAACGACTCAGGACGAAGAACCGGTCCCGGGGAAAGGGTCCAGACCTCTGGGGGTCGACGTCGTGAAAAAATCACGACGTCGGGGGTCTGGGGACCCCCGACGTAATGATTTTTTCATCACGTCGACTCCAGAGTTCTCGACCCCTTCCCCAGGACCGGCTTGTCATCCCGAGTCGTTTTTTGACGCTCCCGAAGCCCGGTGAGGGCCCCCAGAGGCCGAAAATGGCGAAAAAACTCCCGTCACGATTTTTTCATTACTCGAGGGGGTCTGGGGAGGACCTCGAGCCCCGCACCTCGAGAAGCTCCCCCGTGGTCAGCCACCTCCCTCGCGGCTCCTCTCGAGGCCCTCGAGGCCCCAAAGATCCGATGTCGTGATTCTTTCAATGCGCGGTCCCCGGAAGCCTCGACCCATTCCCGAGGACCGGTTTTTCGTCCTGAGTCGTTTTTTGACGGGCCCGAGGCCCGGCGAGGGCCCCTGGGGGCCGAAAATTGCAAAAAAAAAAAAAAAAAAAAAAAAAAAAAAAACTCCGTCGTGATTTTTCCAAGACGTTGGATCTCTGGGGAAGAAGAAGCTTCTCAGCAGTCGTGAGGGCTATTCCGAGGAGTCCCGCCGCCTTCTGAGGAGGCCTTCTCCTTCTCACTTCCCCCCCTCCTCCGC